CCACACGGGACCATGCTTGCCCTGTTCCCTCCACCCCGGGGCCTTTGCACATGTTGCTCCCGCTACATGGAGTCTTCCCCCATCTTAACCTGGCTAATTGCTACTCATGCTTCAACCTTAGTTGAAGCATCACTAACCTCCCCAACTAGGTTAGTTCTCCCTGTTAGACACTCTTACTAGTCTACATATCTTTCGTTCAATGTGTTTATTACAGTAAAGTGTCCCATCTGTGTGCACAATTATTGTAAAACCCCTCCCCAGCAGACTGACTCTGCAGGAAAAACCATTTCTGTTAAAGATCTAGCACAGTGCCTGGCACTCAGTGGGCGCTCAATAAATATTTTTAAATGAACGCTTAATATCATAGCAAGGGCCATAAGGGCTGGTTGCAAATCGATATCCATAGTAATAAAAATAATAAAAACAAACTATAATAAAAATATACTCATTCTAATAAAAAGAAACAAACTAAGTAGGTACTGGCGTTAAACCTGTCGATGTTCTCATCGTGAAAGTGGCAGGAGGGATGTCCCCCAAAACGCACTGATTTATGCAACAAGTCATTTCTGAGTGCTTGCTGTGTGCAAGGTACATGGCGGGTAAATGATTAAGAGACAGATATACAGTGTCCCCAGCAAGGGAAAATGAGGACATGCAATCCAGCACGAGACGCCCAGCGGGTGGGAGAATGAATTGGTAAACAGGACAATTGAGAACTTAGGTTAAAAAGAGACATTCATGCAATGTTTTTATTCACAAATGAGAAAGGGGCCTTGGGATAGCTCAATAAAACCTAGGAATTCACTGAACAGGAAATGGCCATTCTCTATAAGATTCTCATTAAATACGTTATTATACTTGATCGTGCTAGTGCCTGTCACTAATCCAGGGTAGATGAGTGTTGCGGCTCTAATGATTCATGTTAAAAAAAAAAAAAAAAAGGAATTGGCTAGAAGAGACTGCACAGCAGCCTTCTAGATAGGAAGACAGTGAATGTCATCGGACACCTACACAGTGGCTCCGCTAACGACGCTGGACAAAAATGAAACCCCCAGGGCAGACGGTATGCGGAACAGAACAGACAAATATGCACGTACGTTCCCTTCGCTTCCAGATATCTCGTTAAATTTCAAGGAAACTTCAGAGCTTAAAAGCTCAACAATATAGAGAACAGAAGGGGCCCGTTTAGTGGGAAAGATATTTCATTAAATTTGGAAGGTGGAAGCAAAGGGAAGGGTTGACTAAAGAAATAATACAGAGCAGGTGATAAACCAGAATGCCTGCAAAGGGGCTACAGACCGCTTGATGTGAGTACTGGGCGGGGCGTAGAGGTGACAGGCGGGGAGTTGGGAACTGTTTATCCTAAGAAGCAAAAAGAAAGGCAAACGTAACTTCCAGGAAAAACACGCCTCCCCGCAAGGAAAACGCCATATATGAGAAAGGCATGGTCTGAACAACAATAAACTAAAACCAGGTGAGATTTTACAGAAATGGCAGAGTCTAAGAAGAGAGAAGCCTTTTGCATGTGATGCTCTGTGAGAATCGGCTAGATTCTCCTCTATCAGAGTTTAAGGCCACAGGGTAATATGCAAAGGGGACATGTAAATAGACTGGGAGCAGGAAGAGAAAACTGGCTTACATGGTGAGCTGATGTTCTAGAAACCAGGCACACCAAGCGCTTGGATAACATTTTTCAAAAATAAATTTAAATCTAGACAAATTTTCACTTCCTCCCCCTACAAAAAGGGGCTCCCTCTAAGAAGACTAAATTTGAAATCCAGTCCTTCGTCAAATCTGAAAACAAGAAATAGAAGGAATAACCAAAATCCGTTTCAAGGAACGGGGCCAGGACAGCCTAGCATTCTGGAAATGGTTGCTCTTCTTAGAAATGCTGGGTGGCCCAGCGCGAGAGGTGTTCAAGCTGGAGCTGTGCCTTATGAACACAGCAGGAAAGCAGAGGGATCCTCACTTAAGGCAATAAATGGCACCACCGTGTTCTGTCACCTGAGCAAGGCTGGTCAGGTCGCTGGGGTGAACCTTTCATTGCTCAGCTGTCCCTCCAGAATCCAGGGCCTTTTGCCTTTGAGTGAATCCGTGCACGTGCCTGGGGATGGAGGGGCCTCGGTGTGTCGGCGAGCATTTCTTTGGCTTTCTGCATTCCGCAGCCAGCTTCTCCCAACTGAGAGCCAGAGCTGGTACAGAAGCCTTTCCTCAAATATTCCTCAGGTCCGTGAAGAATTAGTCACTGGTTGCTCTGTACTAATGAGCCCACATGTAACTCTATTGTGGCACATGTCACAAAGTGTTGTCACCATGTCACTGTAGAGACTCTATCCCCTCTACTGGTTGGTAAACCCCTGCAGGAAAAGACTGACTACGGCACACTCAGCACTGAATCCTGCTGCCCAGCACATTTGCCAAGTAACCAGGAGAGAGACAGAGGCTGCGGGAGATTCTGACTCTTCTGCCCTGTTGTTTGGGTTTTCTCATCACTAAGCGTTTTGGGAAGTTATAAACCCTGCTCTTAAGGTCAACAGCATAAAAATGACCAAATACCTGGATAGAAGAGATTTTGACTGGAAACCCACCTACACACCCTCACCCAGGTCCCCATGCCATGCGCTCTCCCTGGGTGACTTCCCCCCGACTTGGAGACTTTCAGTGACGCTGCGCTACTGCTGACTCCACAGTTCAGTGCCTCCGGTCCAGCCTTGGCCCCTCCGCTCCAGGCCACACAGCCAACGACCTGCTGGACACCTCCACTTGGTTAGTCCACAGACACCTCAAACTCAACCAGGCCAACAATGAACTCCTGCCTCCTGTCTCCCCGACTACCCTCCAGCAGGCTGCAGACCTGAAATGACACCGCCTACTGAAGGCCCTCCCACGCCACCCCCTCCACCACCTGTCGGGCAAAGTCCAAGGTCCTCGGAAAAGCAGACGCGTCTGCCGGCCGCCAGCACCCTGCTCTCTCCTCCTCCACCGTTTTCGGCCTCCGCTTCTCCCCTCTTCCAGTCACGGCTCCAGCTCCCCGAGGTGCAGTGCGGTTTCTCACCTCCACGCCTGGCTGGCTTCTGCCTCTTCCAAGACCGCACGAGACTCTCTCCTCTTGCAAGCTTTTTTCTGAAATGCGGGGTTATAGACCCCACTTCTCTTCTATGCCGCGCCTCGTGGTAGACAGCGAGCCCTTCGCGTTTAGGACTAATGAACTCCCAGCGCACGCAAGAGGAACGGACGCTCACAGACAGAAGTGAGCCAGCTGGCTCCGTGGCACACGCGCTCTGCGTGGCAGGGCTGTGGCCAGGACTCTGCACTCCTGAGCCAGTTCCCCTGCTTAGATGGCAATGATTTTCCGTCATCTTGCCCTTGAAGCAGAATCTTCCCACTTTGCATCTCTCGTCCATTTCCTCCTGTCTTCTCACTCAATAAGCTCCGTGAAGGGCCCAGGGCAGGGCCGGCAGGGGAGGCCCAGGTGACAGCCATCCCTTGCCAGTCTCTCTTTTTACCACAGCCACCGGGGCAGAGCCTGGGGCTGGAAACCTGACCATGGGCCCAGCCTCAGACCGCCTCCTGTCTGCCAGCCTGCACTCCCACCCGCGGGAGAGGCGCTCACTTACCCAGACTCGCTGCCCCTTCTCTCCTCCTTAGAGGCCGGCTCCCCTCGCCCCAGGCTCAACTGCCACTAACTGCCCTCTGGTCAGCATTCCTGGCCTCTGATTGGGCCCCGGCCCTGCCAATCCCCTCACAGCGGCCCCAGCAGCCTTCATGCAACTGAGGCCTCTGGGTTCACCTCAAGGAAGACTCTCGCTCTGGCCGGGCGCACACTAGGCCTCACGCGTCTCCTGCAAACGCTCTTGGTCCACATGGTTGCAGAGTCCCTCTCTCCAGGCTGTGAGCATTTCGAGAGCCGAGACTAAGCGTTCCTTTTGCTCTATATCCCCATGGCTTCGGACGGGCCACGGAGGGACGCTGAAGCGTTCGGGCTTTCTCATTTCTTCCCTGGACCGTCCCAAAAGCCCTTTCCTGAACCTCTCCAGCCCCAAACTTGTTCCCTCACATCGACTCCCCACAGGCCAGGATCTCAGGTTTGTGATCTGTGGGGTGGAGCAAGTTGGGTGCCGCTGCCGAGCAAGTTGGGTGCCGCTGCCGACGCTGAAAGGGGACTCCCCACAGGCCAGGATCTCAGGTTTGTGATCTATGGGGTGGAGCAAGTTGGGTGCTGCCTCCGACGACGCTGAAAGGATAGCTCAGCGCCCCAGGAGAGAAGAAGGGGCGGGGAAAGCTGGGACCACTTCCCCGCGCTGCGGGGGCTTCAGCGAAACACTCCTCCCAAACCGCAAGGGCTCAGAGAGCCCGATGGCGATGGCGCGAGGCGCTGGATGGAGTGAGCCTGCGGGGTGGGGGTGGTGCTGGCCCTCAGCCTGCGGAACGTGGGGTCTGGCGAGATCCCAAAGGACAGCGTCTGTGGGCAGAGCAGGGAGCAAAACGCTGAGTACGGTCACAGACGCAATCCGAAGGGCCTGGCTACGGCTTGGGGACCAGGCACAGGGCGGGGAGACGGAAGCAGCAGGACAAAGGAAGCAACGGATGCAGGAGCAGAAGGGCCTCGAGCCTGGGGCGGCTGCTCGGTCTCCTATCAGACACGCGATTGTACATGGTGAGCCGACTTTGGCGGGACTACTGAATGAGCCTTTCCTGTTGGCGAGGGAGCCGCCGAATGCTTTTCAATCAGGGGGCGACAGAATCACATCCACGCCCAGGGAAGATGGATCGCAGGGAGAAGGCACTAGAAACGAGCCAAAATGTTCTCAGATCCATCTGGGGCTTATCTAACCTTGGGGAAGGGCCACAGGCCCACTCCGCAGCCTCTGCTGAATGGCGGGGGCCTGGTTTGGACACCGCATCTACCCCGGGCAACAAGCCACAGTTCCTCAGAGAGACTTTTCTGTCATTTTGAAATGTAAACGTACAGTTAGGGCATTCACAGCAGCTTCACTCACATTGATGTTTGAAGACCACACATTTCGAATCCATCCCGGGTCTCTCATTATTGGAATCTGAAAGGCAAAAACATGAGAAATTGATTAACGAACATGTTCCGGATTAGCGGTATTAGCGGTATTGATCGCACAGTCTTGTGAATATACTAAAAACCACTGAATTGTACACTTCACTGTGGCGAACTTTATGGGATGTGAATTATACCTCAGTAAGAGAGGAAATTAAGTTAGAAGGATGTGGCGACTTTTCTTTCAATTAGCGAGAGGTCTCGGTTCCTGGGGGCGCACTGTGAGGTCGTAAATTTCTCTCCGGCCTCCTTCACTCCACCTCGATCAGCTCTGCCTTTTACAGGGATCCCTCCGGCAGAGAAGTGAATTTAAAGGCTATTCCAACAGAGCAGGGCCAGGGGACGAGCGAAGGTGATCGCAGCCAGGGGAGAGAAGGGGTGGCTGCGGGTGCCTCCTGCAGGTGGAATCCGCCCTGGGCCTGGGCATTGCCTGGGATTCGTGGTGTGGGGGTGAAAAGGGAGGTTTTGAGGATGACGTTTTTGGCCTAAGTGACTAGGTAGATGATGGAGTGGAGTCCTTAACTCAACGAGGGAAACTCGAGGGATCAGTTTGGGGAGGATTATTTTAGCATCCTGGTACCACATCTGGAATAAAAAGGTTAGATTTTCCCGTAAGACAGAATCTAGGAAAGACGGAAGATATGGATTAAGCCGTTCTCCCCAAGTCTGGATCCTTGTTGGAAAAATGGGGCCAGGCGACTGGTTTCTTCATCTGTAAATTGCTTAATATGGCAATTAATTCAATCCTGGTTCCAACATAACGATGAGTGTAGGACACTTTCATTTCAGCCCCCGTGGAAGATCACAGCATGCTGCAGAAAAACACGCACGATGAATACAGAGATTCTGGACCATCCAACTCAAATCCCTCTGGGGGCAGAAGCACAGCCACACGCCCGTCAGCATTCACTGGGCACACCCGTCACACTGATTACACACTGGCGAGACGGCCTAGGCAGGCTGGCGGTGGCTTAAATTCACAATGCTCGGATTTGGACCTGATTAAAAGTGAAGTCTTAAATCAAATACGAGGGAGCAGGACCACCCCCTCCAAGAGTTTGGTTTGACTTCAGAGATTAAATGTAAACATGAGAACGCAAAAAATGGTGAACTCGTGTATTTCGACAATAATTTTTCTCAGAGCTAAAAAGAAAATAATCTTATCCCGCCTACAACTATCTGCCGTCAGTCAAAATTCTAACGCAAAATTAGAAGCCCGGCTATTGGACTCTGGGCACCAAGCAGTTAGAAATCGAAGGGGAAGTCGAAAATGAACTTGAGTTTGAACCTCAGTTCTCCCACTGAGAGCTGCATGGCCTCGAAGGGATTTAACATTTCTGAGCCTCGAAGGCCCCACCTCCAAATACCATCGCACTGGAGATCGGAGCTTCGACATGTGAATTTGGGGGGCACACGAACATTTAGTCCACAGCGGTCACATGTGTTAAAATCTGAGTGAAGAATAGAAGGAAAAAAAGTCGAGACAGAAAATCGAATCAAGAATGAGGCCAACGGGAACGTGCATTTCACTGAGTCCTTATTTACAAGGAGTAGAACAGAAAGGTGGCTCTGGCCACCGATGCTTAAAGAAGACCCCGAATAATTATATAATTTGTGATATAACTAGCGTGAAAGCAAGCCAGGTGGTTCAGACAATGCTCACCTGTTCCTGGCACCGAGTCTTCCACTTTGGGTCACCATCCGGGACTAGCGACTCACATTTGTGCAGGGCATGACCGTTTTACACAATATTATCTCTTTTGATTCTTACATTGGCTCTATGAAGTAACTATCTTATTGTTATTCTTCCTTTACAGATGAGAAGACTTGAGGCTTAGAGGGATTTCAGTGACTCTGGTCCGCTCTTGACCCACAGTTCCGTATTTCCAGTCCAGACCTTGCCCCTCAGCTCCCAGGCCACACGTCCAACTACCTACGTGCTGGACACCTCCCCTTGGAGGGTCCACAGTACCTCAAACTCAACCAGGCCAACAGGTTCTAATTTGGGTCCCCCCCAGAGGTTCCCCAGAATAGTATAGAAATGGAAAGAGAATCTGCAGTCAAAGGAATTAGCTCTAAGCCCTGATTGTGATGTTTAATAATGCTTAGTCCTGGGTAGCTCTCTTCATGGCATAGAAATTCCTTTTCTTCAATTACAAAACCCAGTGAATAAAACTTCCTCCATATTCGAAGCTAGGAAGGGCAGGTGGGCGTACCCAGTGTCTCATCTCTCTGACCGGCTCTCTGAGCTCATGGGATTACGCTGGGCCCACTGGATAATCCAGGCTCATCTCCCTATTTCAAGGTCAGTGCTGAGTAATCTTAATGCCATCTGCAACCCTAACTCGTTTTCTCCACGTAATTAACGAGTTCACAGGTTCTGAGGATTAGGACACGGACACCTTTGGGGGCCACTGTTCTTTCTGCCTGGCGCAGCCTCCTAATGCGACTGCCCACGTCCCCTTTTGCCATGTAGCAGTTCATTCTCCAGGCCGCAGCCAAGGTCAGCTTTTTGAAATACAATCTGGTCAGGTCATCTCCATGATTAAAACCGTTCAAGTAAATATAGAAAACGTATTCCGTTTTTTAAGCCCTTCCTCACTTTGGTGAACACACTTGCCACTCACATGGTCGGCCTTTAATCCCTCTGGCCCGGTCACACGAGCCTTTCACAGCCGCCTCTTCAACTTCATCCCGTCACAGGGCCTTTGCACATGATTTTCCCTCTGCCCAAGATGCATTTCGGCTGATTCGATGATACTCATCCCCTAGACCACAGCAAAGGTCTCCTCAGAGACGCCGTCCCTGGCCTCCTCTTCTCGATCACGTCACAGTTGTACCCTCCCTAGCACCTTCATCCCCCCTACATGGCACTTAGCACGGTTTGCAAAGTTACATTCGTTTGTGTAACTATCCGGCTCATGACGGCTTACTCCACAGGGGACAATGTCTGTGGCTCACATCGTTGTATCCCCCACAGGGTCCGGCACGGGGTAGATAGTCAATAAATACTTGTCGAATGGAAGAGCAAAAAGTATGATTTTTGAATATACAAATGAAGACGCTGGAGCTCAGAACATAGAGGGACTTGGCCAAGGCCACACAGCTAGCAGGTGGGGGTGGGTGAGCTGGGATTTGACCCAAGTTTGAGTGGCTTCCAAGCCAGGGCGTCATTCCATCTGCATCAGTCTCCTTGTATGGGGAAAGGGGGGTGGCAGGGGGTGGGGCACTGTGGAAAGCCTAACTTTTATAGTTTTCCCAAGGGGGAGATGAAGGTAGCCTTGGTCCTTGCGTCTACCTGAGCTGTAACTCCCAGGACAGAAATTCTTCCCCATAAGGAAGCATCCCCAGTTCAGGCTCTTCCTCAAGCCTCATATTTCACTTACGGCCACTGGAAGGCAGTCGACAGAGGCGGCACACTTCCCAGCCCTGCTCAAGGTGCCACCACTTCAGGCACGGACGCAGCCCTGTGGTGCACCAAACGGGGCAGGCTCAAGCTTCACATGGGGTAATAGCACTGTGTGCGTGTGTATTAGATTACGGGTGACCTCAATTTTTGCTGCTCCTGTCAGTGACAGGTAGAGTCTAATAGCCTGCCCCTGAAACTTGAGCTAGCTGAAGTGACCTGTGGCTCAATAATATGCAGGACAAGGGACGTTCTTCAGTCCCCGAGGCTAGGTAGTAAGACACCCTCCCGGGTCCCCATCCACCTCTCACGATTCTCTTTAGGTAGATGCCAGCTATAATTAACAGAGGTCTGTCTACCGCGAGACACCTGACTCCTGTCAACAGTCGCAGCTGAGCGGCCTTCCAGCCATCCCCACCCAGCACCAAACATGTGAGGGAAGCCATCGTGGTCCTTCCAGACCAGCCCACCTACCCGTCAGGTGCCACTGAGTCCTCCGAGTAACACGGAAGGAACAGAAGAATCACCCAGCCACGCCCTGCCCGGATCCTCGCCCACGAAATCACGAGACGCAATGAAATAGTTGCTGTGTTAAGGCACGAAATTGCAAAGCTGTTTGCTCCGGAGGAACACACAGCCAGCACGGAGCATGGACGTTTGAGGGAAGGGGGCCCAGGTCGTATTTCTTTGCATGTTTGTGTATGAAATTGCACCTAAGTATCTGCTTCATGATGGAGAGTAATGTGCCTATTTTTTGCAAGGTGTCTATGTGTTATCTGTACAGTCTGTGCTTCTGTGTGTTTTTTAGTTTCTGTGTGTCTGCGTGTGTCTATTTATGGCAAAATGATGAGGCCAACTGTCCTGCGTGAAACCTGGCCCCAGCGTTTACTCGCTTTTCCACGAAAAGAACCCACACAGACCATAAACACACGCACGTGTGCGTGTGTGTCTACACGAGGATAAGGTCTGACTGGTAAACAAGGACAGAGCGTCT